TCTCCGTCGGCTGCAATGTGGAGCACTCGCACCGCGCCGCTAGAGGAGGCGGAGGCGGGGGAGGCAGGGGCGGGGGGCGAGGCGGCGGGGGCGGCGGGGGCGGCGGAGGCGGCGGGGGCGGCGGGGGCGGCGGGGGCGGCGGAGGTAGGGGCGGGGGTAGGGGCGGGGGCGGAGGCGAGGTGGAAGGAGAGGCGTGTCGGGCGGGATGTTGCGACGAGGCGAAGTCCCGTCACCTATGGAACAGTTCCGAGAAGGTTCGCGGGCAGGCGCCGGGCGTCAACGAGGCGCATGCCCGTCACCTCCGCCACCGCGCCGCCGCCCTCGTCGATGAGGGAGACGGAGTGGCCGTCGATGTCGGCTGCAGAGGCGCACGCCGCGTACGGTTCCGCCTAGGCGAGATTGCAATCTCGGCTGGCACCTCGGCTGCACGACGCTAGTAAGTGCGTCTAGCAGGTGCCGAGGGCCGTCGGGTGGCTGCCAGCTGAGAGAGCGGCTGGGCGGCGCGTGGTGGCGTCTCGGAAGTGTCTCGGAAGTATCTCGGAAGCGTCTCAGACGCGTCTCGGAAGCCTCTCGGAAGTGTCTCGGAAGAGTCTCGGAAGCCTCTCGGAAGTATCTCGGAAGCCTCTCGGAAGAGTCTCGGAAGAGTCTCGGAAGCCTCTCGGAAGCGTCTCGGAAGCGTCTCGGAAACGTCTCGGAAGCCTCTCGGAAGTGTCTCGGAAGTGTCTTGCGAGCGCCACACGCCTCGCCGGGCCACCACGAAAACCGGTCGATCGTCGCCGGCACTCCCATCACCCCTCCGGCGGCGAAGGTCGCAAGCTGCATAGCCGCGTCAATCGCGCCCGGGCAGAGCCGGCGTGCGCCGCCGCGCCGCGCCGCCGCAGCCTCCCCCGTCCTCGCCCCGCCTCCAGTGAGCATCCCCCTCGCCCACCCGCCGCCAGCGCCGGCGGCGGTGTGATCACACCTCGCGGCGGCGGCGGCGGCGGCGGCGGCGGCGGCGGCATCGCCGGCGGCAGCTGCGGGCGCGTGGGCGGCGCGCGGAGCAATCTGCACCTCCTCCAGCTGGGCAAAGGCGGGGCCGTAGCAGAAGCCCTGCGCGGCAAAGATGCGGTACGGCGACACGCGCCGCACCCCCGCCGTCGCGCCAAAGGGCAGAGAGGCTCCGGACGGCGGAGAGGCTCCGGCCGGCGGAGCGGGCAACGGGGGCTTGACGCCCACGCGGAAGGCCATGCTCGCGTGCGTCGCTCCGCCGCAGCTCACCTGTTCACACCGCCGCCGTGAAGAGACCGCCGCCCGCGCACACGCCACACGCCCGCTGCAAGGGTGCGGCTCACCTCGGCTGTGCCCTGCGACGCTGTCCCGAAGCTGACCGACAGCAAGCACGCGCGGCGGTCGCCCAAATCGAGCGGCCTCTCGAAGCGACAGTCGCGCAACTCGACGCCGCGGCCGCTTCCGCCGCCTCCGCCGCCGCCTCCTCCGCCTCCGCCGCCTCCTCCGACGCCTCCTCCTCCGCCGCCTCCTCCTCCGCCTCCGCCGCCTCCGCCTCCGCCTCCGTTGCCGCCGCTGCGCGTAGCCTCTGCGGCGAGAATGCCCTCGACAGCCCACGCGAGGTAGGCGGAGGCGGGCATGAGGGGCTGGCCGGCCGCCACGTGCTGCTGCAGCAGCCGCCACGCGGGCGGCGACGCGGCGCCGGGGCCCAGCTCGAGGCGAAAGAGGTGGAGGGAGTGGGAGAGGGCGGTGTGGGCGCCGGCGACGGGGTGGAGGGCCGACGCCGGCAGCGGCGGCGGCGGCGGCAGAGGCGGCGGCGGCGAGGCGGTGAGCGAGGAGAGGAGGTGCGCGTCTTCCTTCGCGAATAGCGTCGCGTGCGCCGCATAGTCGGCCCACGACGGCACCTGCTCACCGGCGGACGCGTGAAGTGACGCTGTTCACAGCTGGAGGGCGTAGCGTCGGCTTCATGAAGGCACGTCGAGAACGAGCTGAGGGGAGGGCGGAGGAGCGTCGAGGATCAAGCCCAGCTGGCGCAGCCCTGCCTCGACCTGTTCACAGCGAGGCGTGTCAAAAGACGCTGCTCACAGCCGGAGGGGCGGCCCGCCGCTTCGCCTCGACCGAGCAAAAGGCCTCGCCCGCCACCGGGTCAATGGCGTGGTCTGCGGCCATGCCTGCACCCGCCCAGCCCCCCCAGCGGATCGCGTCGCCGCGCAGTATCTCGTCGAGCGCTGCGTTGGCCGCGGCGTAGGTGGCCTGGCCAGGGGCGAAGAGGGTGCGGGAAGGGTGCGGGAAGGGTGTGGGGAGGGTGCGGGGAGAGTGCGGGAAGGGTCGGCGCATCTCGGCGCATCTCGGCGCATCTCGGCGCATCTCGGCGCGTCTCGGCGAATCTCGGCGCATCTCGGCATGCAAATCGCCTGCCCCACGGGGCCGATCACGGCCGAGGACGAGGAGAAGGCAACCAAGCGCGACCCTACCGCGAACCTACGCGACACTTCCGAGAAGGTTCTTGGGGGAGGCTTCCGGGAAGGTTCACACGGCCCGCGCTGCGGCTGTGCCGGCGTCGCAGGTTCCGCACGCCCGCGAGCTTAGGGCGGAGCAGCGCGGCAAGCCCCGGCTCGGACACGTGCTGCATGAGCTGGTCGCCGATGACGCCGGCGCAGTGCACAACCAGCTGCGCGTCCGGCAACCGCTCGACCTGCTCACAACGACAGCCGTGAACGAGACGCCGTTCACACGGCCAGCGGCGCGCTCCGACGACCGCTCGACCTCGCTCCATGCGCCCACGTCCGCCCTGACTGCCTCTGCCCTCCCATCCGCCACCAGCTGCGCAAGCAACGCGGCGTCCGTCTCCTTCCCGCCGCCGCCGCCACCACCGCTGCTACCGCCACCGCCACCGCCGCCGCCGCCGCCGCCGCCAACGCCGCCGGCACCGCCACCACCGCTGCTGCCGCCACCGCCACCGCCGCCGCCGCCGCCGCCAGCAGCGCCGCGGCTTCCCACAGCGCCATCCCCACTGGCAGCCTCGCCGCTCGCGCGCGATGAAGCAGCGTCACGGCGTGTCGCGTCGGCCTCGGCGTGAGAGATGCTCTCCCACCCCTCCCTCTCCCACCCCTCCCCCCCCTCGCCCCCCTCGCCCCCGGCTCCTCTCAGTTCGCGGCCGCCCGAACGACCGACCAGGACCACCCGCCGCGCGCGCCCCGACGAGAGAAGCCACCGCCCCACCTGTGGTT